AGCGGGCCGGGGGGCGCGGCGGGAGGCGCGCGGGACTCAGCCGGGGTTGGGGTGCGGGCATAGAGGGTCCGTTCTCTGGAAGAGTGAACCTGGCTCTTCTAGCCCCGCTGTTGGTTGGGTTTCTTTCGCCCGAGGCGCTGTCAGGGTCGAATTACCCACCAGAAGACAGAGGGTAGGCAGACCCGGGCACTAGGGACAGTGGTGCGTAGCCCCCTGGGGAGGTGCGCGCCCTGGGGTGCAGGGAAAATAGGGCGGCCGGGAGCTCTGCGGGTTATAGCCCCAGAGTCGGAGTCTGTGTGGTCGCCCGTGTGGACTGGACGTCCCACGGACCGAGACCCGCTCGAATCAGGGCTGGATGGGCGCTGAGCCCAGGATGCTGAGTTGTCTGGATCCCCGCAGTCCCTGGAGTGACATTGCTCTGGCTTTCTGTTTCCGCTCCTTGAAAGCTTGAGGGGGAAGTGACCAGGGCTGACTCCTCGCTTGGTAATTGAGGTTTTAGGTGCTTTGTCACCAAGCGGGAATTGGCTTTTCTCTCTTGCAGTTCCGTCTGATTTTATTCTTGGGCTGCACAGAAGTGTTCAGAAATGAGTTCTGATGTGTGTAGCTGGAAAATTAAAGTTAACGTATAGGTATATAAAAGAAATAAGACCTTGCCTCCACTTTTTGTACAAGGTATCTGCAGTCAACCTAGCAATTAGACATTATCTGATTTTTTTTCAGACATTTCTCAGACATTCCTTGAATTTTTAAGACATGTTCAGCTAGTCTTCCATAGTCAAGAAAATTGCAATAGTAGAGAATGGATACAATCAGACTGTGAATAGATGTAGCAGTGTAAGTGTTTTGAAACAAGATTACTGTGGGTTGGATGAATGAGAAAGGAGGAAATTGTGGCAACCAATTTATTTCAGTAAATCTGATGAGGAAGGGCGCATTTAAGTGTGTATGGTTAATACCGCCTATAGATGATGTGCATTATTATATATATGAAAAATGTGTGTATATGAGGGGAAAATGTGTGCTTCAGTAGAAAACTTTAGATTCCATTTTGACAACACCCCTTGGATTATCTGAGTCTAAGGAATGTACATAGCTGTGTAAACTGTAGATAACTAATATTAATATTGAATAATTTTGTCCATAGACATGAAAATTCTGTTCTCTTAGAGGCTCCGTGGAAGTTTTGCCTCATGTCCATTTATTTCGACATTCCTGGTTAATGTATATGATCTTGGGACTCCCTTTATCTACTATCTGGCTGATTCCTTTGTGAGTTAATTAAAATCTTAAACCATGTTCATTTTTGCATTTGAACGAGTCATGATTTTACCTTTTTAAGAAAAAATAATTTAACATTATTAAATAAGGGGAGGGATAAAGACAGATGGAAAAATAATTTTAGTAAAAGTTGCTGTAAGAGCAGCTGTGGTTGAGTGCTAAGATAATGCATCATAGAGTGTGTCTGTAGTTTCTTAAGTTTCAAATTGCTCAATGTATTAATATTATAACTGAAACATAGTAAAGTTATTTTAATATTGAAGGTGATACTACTAAGTCATCATTAGAGCATGTGCATGGATGTTTTTGAATGATGGTGTTAAATGACCTGAGACATGACCTAGCTTAGAAATCTTTTTGTTATACTGTATTTATTGTTCACATATTTGACAGCTTCAGTTTTTCCATCTAAGAAGGTTTCTTAAAAAAAAAAGTCATTCTTTATTTGCATAGAGTGATTCTTAAGTATAATAGATTTGGTGTTGAGATAGGGATATTGTGCAGAAATATCTAATTTATCTTAAAGTTTTAAAAATACACAGACATAAAGGATGGTGAACCTATAATTTATAGAAAAGCAGTGACATAGAGCTGGTAATTAATGGAGGTCAGAAACATGGACCAACTCTATACTTTTATGCAGGCCTGTCTAATCAGTGTAAGCACTTTGAAGTACAAGTAGACAGATTTAAAGTTCTTATTTTTCTCTTTTAAATGATATCATTTTCTCTTTATTCAGACAAAAATGATTTTATGGCTAAGGAAGTAGATCTGATCGATTCTGGATTCTTCTGTTTGTTCCATGTAAACTTTTGGATCCTGGGACGTAAATGCCTTGTTTCAGGAGACTTTTTTTTACTAAGGTTTTGTGTCTGTTTATGAACCTGTTCAAAATACAAAACTGATCTATTGATTTGCAGTGGAAAGTGCTGCTTCTCTTTAATGTTATCCAAAATTCTGGCTGTAGCTTAGATTGCTGTTGCCTTCCCTCAGCTGAGCACTGTGCATTCTTTCCATCACCAGGATTCTTAATCTGAGTCTGGGAATCCTCTCAGATTTATTTCCAGATCTGTGCTTGTTTGAGCTCATGTGCTCACAGTTTGGGTAGTAAAAGGGTTTTTAGCTTTCATCTAATTCTCAAAGAGGTCTGTGACCCCAAGAATGCTAAGAACCACTGTTTCTTAAGGATCAGGAATCAGATTTTCCTGCTGAACTTGGCTTTGCTGCTCCATTTGCTTTATTGCCAAGGTGTTTGTGTTGGGGAAGAGGGAGATTTAAATCTCTTTTTGGTGAGAAAAATACATTTCTTTTAGAGATGGAGCTGGAAAAGAATTCACCTTTCGTTCAGTGCCTTGGCACTTTCGTATAATGCCATTAAACCTTGCCCTACAGTAATCTCTCAATATTACTTGTTACTTGATTTAACATCCAGTTGTCTTGTGAGTCACAGTGACTTTTAAGATCTGGGCAGGAGATCCAACAAACTATACTGACAAGATATGATTAGAGATAAAGGAGAACCAGCAGAGTATGCTGTCCAAGAAGGTAATAGAATTTCAGGGAGGGAGTAATCAATAGTAGATGCAGCTAAAATTTGATTACCTCCTGGCTAAGCAGTTTTAGTATTGTTACAGAGATGGAAGCAAAACTGCAGTGGGTTGAATAAACAGAGGAAAAAGAAGTAGAGTTGGCAAACAGATTACTCTTAGAAAGTTGCATGGTGGAAAGAGGAGTTTAGTTGTTACTCTGAAAAAGAAATGGGATAGGAAAAAATTTTGAGAATAGGAGACGGGAGAAGGAGAGATCAGATGTGAAGGGAGCATTGATGTTAATACATTCTCCTAGAGGAGAGCTAGTCAGGTGCAGTAAAATGCTTAAATGAAGGTGAGTGGGCAGGCTTAAAAGGATGGTTTATACCCTAAAATCACTTAGAAGTTGGAAAGATTGAGTGAAGATTGAGAAATTTTGAGTTGGAGAGAAGTTAAGTTGAACTATGACTTCTCTTAGAGCATCAGGAAAAGAAGGGAGGCAGTGTGATACGATGTAATGGAAATGACATGGATTTTGATGCCAGCTGGTCTTCCATTTGGATCTCAAGTTACCACTTACTAGTTCTGTTACCTTGAGCTGATAGCTGAACATCTTGGTCTTGCTGCCCTCCCTCACGGTGAAATAAGAGTCTTAATACCTACTTTGTGGGATTGCTGTAAGGGTTAGAAAGCACATTGGTAACATATCTAATCCCCTGTGGTTCACTGACCCTTCCACGGTGGCCCTATTTTGTTCCTTTAGTGTTTTAGGTTCTTTCCTACCTTAAGACGCCCCAGTGTACCCTTTCTGCTGTCTGTAAAACTCTTCTGCTACTTTTGGTCTCAAGTCTCACTTTCAGGATAGGACATTCCCTGCTTCTCCAGTCCCTGCTGCTTCTTCACTGTAGCACACTTATCATAGATTTGAACTATGTGTTTATTTCTGTGATTATATTTCTGTGATTTTTGTGGGGCTGTTTCTTCCATTAGACAGGCTCAGCACTTAACAATGCTTGAATGAATGAATGCCTGGGACATAATAGGCAAACAAGCATTTATTAACCTCACAGTTTCGAAGGGTCAGGAATTCAAAACTTGCTTATTCATGGGGTTCTGGCTCAGGGTTTCTCGTGAGGTTGCAGTCAAGATGTCAGCTGGCACTGGAGGATCCGGGGTGAGTGAGTCACATGCCTGATAGATGTTGCTGGTTGTTGGCAGAAACTCTCAATTTCTCCCCATAGGGGCCTTTCCGTCGGCTACTTGAGTGTCCCCAGTCGTGGGAGCAAACTTCCCCAGAACAAGCAGTCCAAGAGAGCACTGCAGAAGCCACAGCATCTTTTACAATCCATTGTTGGAAGTCACCCAGTGTGATTTCTGCAATGTCCAGTTGGGTACACAGGCTAGCCTTATTCATTATGGGAGGCATTTACACAAGGGATTCATATCAGGAGGCAGGTTTCAATGAAGGACATCTTGGAAGATGTCTATCACAGATGCTCTGTGGAATAGCATAGAGAGTCATCCAAAAATGACTCAAACAATTTCCCAATAGTGTTGACGGAGGGCCCAGTTCACATAGGAAAACATGCATTTGTATTGACAGCAGGTAGGATCATTTCTGACTTTCTTTTTTCTAAAGACATAGGAGGGGAATCAGAAAACAGATGTTGGGTTGATCTAAGTGTTAGGGATTAATAAGTCATTACAAGGGTTGACACTGAAGTAAATAAGAGTGTATCTTAATTCAGCAATTTGTGTTTGGTTTATTAGAGAGTCTGACAGCGAGTGTTTTGGTCTTTGCAAAGTGAAGATGTATCTATCTCAGCACTGGTGTGACTTTCACATTGGGTCTGAGAAAGTTATAACACCTAACTTTTATTGTGCCGTGTTTTGTGCCAGGTGTTTTGCTGTGCAATTTTAATACAGATTATCTCATTTAATCCTAACAATAA